GTGGTTCTAATTTGCATTTCTCTGATGATTAGTGATGTGGAGCATCTTTTCATGTGCCTGTTGGCCATCTGGATTTCTTCTTTAGAGAACTGTCTACTCAGCTCCTCTGCCCATTTTTTTAATTAAATTATTATTTTATTTTTTGTATTTTTCAAATTTTACCTCTCCAGTCTCCCACTCTCCATACATCATCATTACTCATCATGATCATGAGGTGTTTACCCCAGGCTGCAGATTGATAGAAAACTAAGAAATTCAAGAAAACTATTATAGCAACAGGTGAAAAAATGCACACTGCAAAATCCTATCAGTGAATACCTCAAATTGTTACATTGTACAAACCCAAGTCATAAAACCCAAAAGCTCTCTTTTGCTCATCTGTATTTCCCTGACACTCATTTGCCCTTCCCCTAGAGCCAAACACTATTTACCAGTTTTTTAGTATACTTCCAACATTATTTCATTCATATACAAGCACATACCTGTATCAATTCTATAAGCAAAAGATACTTTTCCACATGTTGCTTTGTTCATCCTATAACATGCCTTAAAGATGGTTCCACATCAGTTCATATAGAGATCTATTTTTGAATGGTTTCATAACACATTATATGTGTTGATATGTCATAATTCAATCAACTCAACCCTTTTTGATAGACATTTACTACTTTGCACTCTTCTGCTATTAGAAATAAAGTGAAATTCAATTAACTGTACAAGTCATTTCACACATGTTTCAGCATGTATATAGCATAATTTCCTAAGAGGAAGCTGGACAAAAGGATATATGTATTTAAAATTTTGAGAGTTACTGTCAGATTGTTCTTGATAGAAGTTGTACTACTTTATGGCAATGTATGAAAGTGTGTTTTGCCTGCCAAACAGTAAAATAACTAAGTTTCAACTTAATAATTTTGGTCAGTCAAGTAAGTGATAGTAGTATCATGTTGTAGTTATTAATTGATACTTCCATATCATTGCTAAAGTTTACATATGTCTAGGAATTTTAAATTCCTTTTCTGTGTTCTCTTGCCTGTTCACACCCTTTGCCTATTTTTCTTTTGGGAATCTTAGAATTTTCCTCTTTGATTTATAGAAACTGTTTTAAAAATAAGGAGTTGACTATGAATTTTGTTGTAGATATTTTTCCAGTATGTTGTTTATTGACCTTTTCATGTTTGTGCTACAAAGATAATTTTGTTTAAAATAGTCAATATTTACTTTTGTGGTTTCTAATTGGGGGCCATATTTAGGCCTCCCTTTGCTGAGATTATAAAAATAATGTCCTATTTTTTTCTCTTCCATATACTTCCATGATTCCATATTTTTACATGTAAGTATTGGATCCACCTGGAGTTTATTTTGGATCAAGTGCGATATACAGCCAATGATTTTTTTCTTAATTGATAGGTACCCAAGTTGTTCAACATAATTTATTGGATAATCAATCTTTTCCCAACTAATCTGTGCCACCTTTAACATATACTACATTCCCACACATATTTGAATTGAATTGAACATTCTAGTCTGGTCCATTGACTGGCTACACAGCAGAACCCCATTGTTTTAACTATTGTAGCTTTGTGATATGTTTTTTTTTTTTTGAGAGGGCATCTCTCATATTTATTGATCATATGGTTGTTAACAACAATAAAATTCTGTATAGTGGACTCAATGCACAATCATTAATCAACCCCAAGCCTAATTCTCAACAGTCTCCAATCTTCTGAAGCANTTCTTTATATCTGTTCAAATTCTCTTTTGTATTCTTCAGCTTCATTTCATAATTTTATTCATATTGAGCTTGTATATTTCTTGTTACAGTTATTCTTCATTATTTTGTTATTTTTGTTGGAATTACAACAGGGTTTTTTTTTTCATTTTATTGTCTCACTAGATATAGTTTGCACATATGAAGGCTATTGAATAACTTGGCAATTAGAAAATAATACATATAGATTAACCTATGTTTTACTGATTTATTTGTTCATACTTCTTTCTTGAAATCACTACTTCTCAGTTCATTTTTCTCTTGCTGGAGTACATTGTTCAGTGATTCTTTCAGGAATGGTCAACTCTTGAGTTAAAAAAAAATTACAAGTCATTGCAAGCCTGAAATTTTATTGTGCCCTCAACTCTGAACAAGAGTTTGATTTGGAAGAGATATCTAGATTCAAACTTGTTTGTCCACAGCATTTGAACATATTGCCCATATTCCTCATGCATCCAATCTTACTAATGAAAAGGTTTTATAAAATACATTCAATCTCTTTGTAGATTATCTATACTTTTTCTCTCTTTTGGATTAAAGAAATCTTTTATGTCCTGAATCTTTACTATAATATGTTACATGTTTGTCATTGACTCAAAATTAGCACAGATAATATCATTATTAGACCACAACATTAAAATAGATGTTATAACTGTATTCTCTATATTCGAGAAGCTAGAAGATTGAATGTGTTAAATAGAAACATGGAAAGTATTACAAAAGGATCGAAATCAAGCTTCTAGAAAAATATTAGAAGATGCAAAAATGTCTGAGATGAAAAATGCACTGAATGGGATTAATGGCATCTTAGACATTGCATGGAGAAGAAAATATTAGTGGACTTGAGGACACAGCAACAGAAACCACCTGATATAAAACACAGAAAAATTTAAAGCACAGTACCAGTGAGCTGTGGAACAAAGTCATATGCCTAATATACATATAATTGCAGTGCCTGAGGAGAGGAAGGGGTATAGAAAATATATTAGAAAAAATAATGGCTGAAATTTTTCCAACTTTGATGAAAATTATCAATCAATGGATCCAAGGAGCTCTCTACAAACCTCAAGCACAATAAACTTTTTTAGTTACCAAATATCATAAATTACTTAAACCAAGAATAAACAGTAGCACAAAGCTTGGAAAGAAGAAATGAAAGTATTCTTACTGGTATTTTATCACTTGAAGACAGGCTGTGACAGCTTAAAGATATATCATAGACCCTAGAGCTATCATTAAAATAACAAAGCAAAGAGTTATAACTAATAAGCCAATAAAGGACATATGACATAATTGTTTATAAATGCACAATCAAGTCAAAAGGATGCAGAAAAAGAAGGAAAGGGGCAACAAAGAATAAATGGGAAAACAGAAAAAAATAGCAATAGGGTAGATTGAAACCCAAACATAACAATAATCACATTAACATTAGGTGAAGGACACAGGGTAGTGGTCTGCATTACCTTCCCAACTTCCTATGAATTTCTAAGTATTGCAAAATCAAAAGTTAAAAAAGCAAATAGTTTAAATACCTGAATTAAAAGGTAGGGATTGCCAGATTGGATTAAAAGGAAACTGAAACTTAAAATAAAAATATACCCACTGTCTTCTTGAATATTGCTCCAGAGAAATCAGAAGCCAGAATGATCATTCAAAGATAATTGGATATTTTTGCTTGGATTGTTAAAATATAGCAGGGTCTTTCTATGTTTAACAGAGAATTAAGTTTTTGAGTTTTGTAGTTTATGTCTCTCAGAAAAAATGGATTTGTTTAGCTTCAGATATTGGGAGAATTTCTGAGAGAACTTTGGCACACAAGGAATTTGCACTTTCGTAGCAATAGCCATTGAGAGACTAGCTGAAATCCTGAAGACTTGGCAGGACAAAAATACTGGAATTACTTTATCATTTCATTGGTTATTAAATTAATGAAAAACAAAATGTAACCTTTGAGTCCAGTACATTCATCAGAAACCCTTTCATTTTAAAATTAACAAGTAAAACACAGTATTATCTCAGGGGAACTGAGGCAATCTTACCTTCATATACTAACCTAAGATTCTCCACAGGAATATTAAAACAGAGCCAAAAAGCCAAGATCCGAAATAACCAAAAGGCACACAGGAAGAATTTTAAAGACAGCGATCAAAACTATGAACACCATTTAAATAAATGAAAAATAATAAAATAGTGCGATGTGTTCTTACAGAAAATTATGATTTGTACCTTCCTACCTTACATTTTGAAACATGCTACATTCATTCCTAGTCCATAGAAGGTCAGTCATGCTACCCCTCTCCATCCTTCACACTCTCCCCGCACATTACATGCAAGCATTTCTGTGTCATGGCTGTGTTAATAAAAGTGAAAATACCTGAGTCTACCTGGCCCATCAGCTCATACATCTTGTCATGACTTCTTCCCTCACTGACTGCTCCCTGACCACCCTGAACAACCAAACCTCCTTCTGTCTACCTATCTACACACACACACAAAAAAAAAAAAAAAAAAAAAAAAATCTATGCATCTCAGGGCCCTCTGATTACTCTGGTGTCCTTTATTACTATCAGAAATTTCTTACACTTGTTTACTTATCTGTGATTTGTGTCTATCCCAAAGAAGGAATCTTGTCTATCTTGTTTTCTACCCAATCCTCAGCCCCTAGTACCTAGAAGAGTGTATGGTTCACAGTGAATCCTCATTAAGTATTTATTTGATGATTAAATTTTTAGATCAAATAGTTTCATAGTTAACTATAGGTGAAATTCCTAACTGTTTTGGATTAGGATTTTTTGCCAGAAACTTTCAGAATATACAGATGTTTCTTCGCCCTGGAAGCCAGACAGAGCATAAGATTGTGGAAAACAGCTGGTTCACCTGCTGTTGGATTGATCCCAAACACAATGTTTCTTTCCAGGCCTGAAAATCGGCGGACACTGTCCAACACAATGTGATTGCTCGTGATATCCAATGCATCACCGAATTGTACTAACAGATCAGAATCCTCACTGAGCTGATGTATTTTTCTCTTCCTCATTGCTCTTAGAAGCTCCTTTTTGTATTTCTCAACTTCACTTGCTTTGCTAAAAAGCACAGCAATATCCTGGGGGGAATAACCATTCCTCAAGAGACACCAGCAATTCTCTGCTAGCTGGACCACCATCTCCTCCATGTCCAAGTACTCCGTAATCTTAAAATTGCCTGGAACACCCTGAGCCCATTTAGCTTGATGGACTATCTCCAGAGACCCAGGGGGGATGTTAGGTGGAGGATTTTCTCTGACCACCTGCATCACTTCTTGTAGGTAGCTGGCTATTGGATCTGCATTGCGCATGACTCTGGTCAGCTCTTCTCTTGGATACTGGGCTGACAGAGTGGGGAGGCCTGTGTAACTCAAGTGGCTGGTCTGAAAGTAGTCCAGAAAGATCCAGAGAATTCCTGGGCAATCCTTTTCTCTCTGAGTGATGTTTTTTGCCTTGGTATACCAGTCCCCATCTTCACTGCGGAAATTCTGAGCTTCATCAATGATGATATGTTGAGTATCTTCAAAATCTTTTTTCATGAAGGTTTTCCGGGTCACTGCCTGGCAGATACCTTTCTTGCTGAAAATGAAAGAAACACAGTCAGGTTTCCTCAATCAGACAAAGGAAACCAACTAACTCTTCAATTCTTCTGGCACATAGTAAATACACATGAAGCTTACCATGTGAACTTAAATTCACACTTTAGCTTACTCAAAGAAAAGAGACTGAATATAAAGACTTTAAGTTGCTCTAAGAAAAGAAAGTTAAGAAAAGAAAATGGATATAGTCAGCGGCATACCTTACAAACTCCCTCAGGGGCTGGTTCTCACAGACGTAAAGAATGTCACCTGGTTGACAGTTAAACACATATCTGATCTTCTCCATGATCCTAAGAGCCAGGATGGTCTTCCCTGATCCAGGTAAGCCATGGACAAATAGCTTTCTGGTCGTGTGAAGGTTCTTTGAAATCAACTCATACTGTTTATCTGTGAGTAGGTTCAAAACTTCAGTGCCCAGCTCTTCACTTAAGAAAGATCTGAATCCTAGCAGGACTATGACAAGGGACTGTAACAGAGCTTCCAAGTGCTGGGTGGTCATAAGTTTGTAGGATGTGGGATAAATTGGCAAATCTGAACCATGAAAGGCCTTTGCTGTTTTATCGGGATTTAGCAGGAAGACTGAAGGAGTGATGCACAATCTCCCAGTGTAGCCACCTGTGTTCACCAGTTTCTGCTTTAAGAAGTGGGCGACTCTCATCGAATAGTCCTTCCAGTCCACGTTCCCCTCCCAGAGGATGGTGTAGAGGAGTGGGATGTTGTTCTGAGAGAGTAGAAGAGCATCACAGATCACTCCTTGCTTCTCTTGCAGACCCAAGTCCACAGCCCAGCTTCGAGAAAAAATTAATATTCCTTGAGAGACAGAGCACATTTCCTTACTTATGAGGTCTCTGAGTCCTTTATATTGTGAGAACAGTTCCTTATAGAGGCTTTCTGGAATATACACCACTCTGTCTGATGATACTAGACAGGGAAAGAATTGGAATAAATTAGAGAATCCCCAGACAAGCTAGTAATCATCATCATAAGTAGTAGATTCAACCCACAATTGGGCCCTACACAGTAGGTTATGCATTAGTAACAAAACGATAAAACATTTCCAAGTCCAATGGGGCCAAATAATTGACTGGTATAAACAGAGACAAACAATAGTCATGTTCCAAAGTGGTATTACAATGGGAAAGATCCCAAGGAAAGTTACAGCTTAGGAAAGAAGAAAATATGAAAGTCTTTATGAAGAAGGAGACCCCTGAACTGCATCTAAAAGATGACTGCAAATTAGCCAGCTGAAGTTGGAGAATAGAGAGGTAGGCAGAAGGGAGCTCATGAGTCAGCACAGAGACAAGAAACAGCAGGGTTTATTCAGGTAACTCCAAGCATGTTGTGTTGCTAACTTCTAAAGTGAGAGGCGAAGACGCAGGGATGACAATGGGGAGGAAGGCACTGTGCCTCGGCAATGCTGACTCTAGTTAACAATACTGTGTTACATACTTGGAAGTTGCTAAGAGAGATCCTAAGTGTTTTCATCACACACACACACACACACACACACACACACACAATGATACTTATGTGAGGTGACAGGTATGTTGGTAACCTCGTTGTGGTGATTGTTTCACAATACACGTGTTTGAACTCATCACATACATGATGTTATATGTCAATTATATCTCCATAAAGCTGGGAGAAAAAGCACCTGGCAAAGTTTGTACACCATATGATTTTGTGAAAGGCAAAACTATAGGGATGGAGAACAGATCAATGGCTGCTATGGATTAGGGATTGGAGGAGAGTTTTGACTACACAGGGGCAGCATAGAGTCTTTTTTGGATGATGGAATTGTTCTGTACCTTGACTGTGTCCATGTTTAAAAATCCTTGTAACTGTGTAACAAGAAAGTCAATTTTATCTGTAAATTTTTAAAAATAAGTTTAAAATTAAGATAATTATAATAAAAATTCATTTTTAAAAGTACTCTTTAAGAGTTTGGGCTTTTCCTGTTGTATATAAGTTTCTTAAACTCTTTGGGGTCATAAACCCAAATTTGGAATCTAACCAAAATTTATGAACCCTCTCCCCAGAAGAAAATCAAATACACACAAAATTTGAATTTTGAATTCAGGGTAGAGGGAAGAGACAAGATTAAATTCAGATTTCTGTGCTTGGCTGGATGGAGGATGGACTGTGCAATTGATATAGACAGTGTGGAAGACATAGCAGAAAAAGAATATTGAATACAGAATAATAATGCAGAAGATACAAAAGAAGATTGTCAGAGCAGAAGATCAATTTTGGAAATGCTCAGGTTTTTGATCCCTGTGGTACATCTAGCTGTCCAGCAAGCAAGTGGACACACTAGTAAAGCTTGTCTGAGATCAGAGAAATACTTGACTTAGTTTCTGTAAAAGTGGCCTAAACTTTTATAAGGTTAAAGAGCACCTAAGGGCAACTCCTACTACTAGTCTGATTTAACATCATTCTGGAATTATTGGCCAATGAACTGAAGCAAGTAAGATAAATAAAATGTATAAACATAGGAAATGTTAGCTCAAAATTACCTTTGCTTTTACAGTAATAGGATTTTTAAATGTTTAGAAATGGTATAATGTGTATTCTAAAACTTAAGAGCTTTCCTACATGGCAGCAATTCACAATCAGAAATTATTATATGAAGATTGCCAGTGTAGGACTAAAATTTAACATATAGTAGCAATATGGATAAAACTTAAAAGAATTGGGAGATATACCATATTTCACTGATTATATATGTACTTTAATTTCTCTGATATCAAGATACATCTTTTAGTTTAATTGGCAATATTTTCCTTTTGAATGGCAAATAAAATAATAGTGCAATATTGTTTTCTTAAGTGTCATAAAATATGATAAAAGAAGACTTGAACAAATGGCTGTGTTCACCTATGAGAAAATTCACTGTTGTAAAAGTGACAATTTTTTCCAAATTAATCTATTAACTTTGTGTAATTGCCATCAAAATAATCTCATATTGTTCTCTTCTTTTTGGTGGAACAAACTGATTCTAAGCTTCTAGAAGAGAAAAGCCATGATACCATTTGGAGAAAGTATATTTTGGTATATGTTTTGAATTACAATTTAGCAATGTTCACCTAAATGTATAAGCAATTGTTATTACTTGGAATTTATCCTTCAGGAGTACCTCAAGGCATTTGTAGAAAAATGTATATTGGAGCACTGCTTAGAATAGAAAAAATTAGACATCATCTAAAATCCTATCAAAAAGGAACTAGTTAAAGAAGTGATAGAAGGGTGTTTTCAAAGTTGCATTTTTTTTACCTGGGTGGTGGTTCAGCAGTTTCAGTGCATAATTATCTATTAAATGATATTTTTGTTGTATGCACTTTCTGTATTTATAGTATATTTAATAATAAAAACAGCTAAAGTTGATACTGTTTAGGAATACTATGAAATACCATACAATCAATAAAAGAATTGGGTAAATCTAGGAGTAAGGTTATAACAAGACGTACATACACACTACTCAGATTCAGCCATATACTTGCATATAGTTGTAGTGCATTCATTTTCACTGTAGAATAATATTCCATTATGTGGATATACTGCAGTATACTTATACATGTTATGACAATTGGTGATTTGGTTGTTTCCCATTTGGGACTAGAACAGATAGTGAATCTAGGAGCACTTGTGGGCATATTGCCAATTATATACATATCTCCTTGTGCATGTGTACAGATTTTTGTCTAGAAACCAGAAAGAATTACTGAATTGTAGAGTACGCAAATGACCAACTATACAAGGTAATCCACATTTGTTTTCCAAAGGGATAAGGCTGGCTTAATTCCCACCAGCACTACACAAAAGATTCTGATTACCCACCACTTCAACACCTGATTTGCCGATTATTTGACACAAGATGGTATCTGCTTGTGGTTTTGGCTTTGATTTGCATTTCGCTCATCACTGATGGGTTGGGCATCTCTTTATAAGTTTACTGGACTTATGTGTTTCTTTTCTGAGAAGTACATCTTTATTACTATTGCCCATTTTTCTACTGGGTTGTTTATCCTTTAAAAAAGTTGTGTAAGTTCTTTTTATATTCTTGATACCAATCCTTTGTCAGCTACATGTATTGCAAATATCTTCTAGCTTATAATCTTTTCACTCTCTTTAAGCTATCTTTGGAGGCAATGAAGCTCCTAATTTTAACATAGTGAGGTTTATCAATCTTTTTTCCTCTAATAGTTTTGTGCCTGGTCTAAGAAATCCTTTCCTACCCCAATGACACAAAATTATTCATGTACATTTTCTACTAAAAGTTTGAAAAGCTTGTTTCTGACATTTAAATCTTTGAACTCTATGGAATTGAGTTTTTTATACAATGTAAAATAGGAGTTTGATTTTATTTTTTCTATATGGATGAGCAACCAACCTATTCCAAAGCAACCAGAGATGATGAATTACCTGGAAAGTAACGCTTTTGCTGTTCTTCCAAACATTCAAAATTCTTGGGAGTGCACACAGTCCTGCCACAGGGTGTAGTGGATGACAAACTCAGTGCAAGGACCATCTCAGAAAGTCTAGAAAGATCTTAGGAAACAAGAACCAAGGATTCAATATGCAAAAAGGCAGTCCCCAACTTAGAGCTGATCTATGCTCCAAAGTCTTTCACTTAGTCTTAGAACTCAAAGCCTTGGCCCAGAGAAATATATATTTACACCCTTAGCTCAGGAAAGCTTATTGATATCTTGGGGAAGAAAAAAACTGGTGTGGAGCAACAGTTTTTAATTTTAATTGTATTATATTGAGACAAGCTTCTTATATTTCTAGAATGCTTACATTTAAAAAATATGATTAGAAGACAGGAAGTTCAATGGTATGGATTTCTGACAAGATTCTGAAATGGACTTTGTTTTTCTGGACTTTTAAAGACATTACCCTTGATTTTCTTTTGTCTAATTTTATCCTGGGCTCTCCTTTTCCAAGGCAGATGCATATCACCAACAATACTCTTTGGCTTTTGAATCAGGGCTAACTCTCAACAGGGAAAGTAGGATAGGAGAGGGACAGCCATGGTTTGGCCATGTTTTGGTCCAAAAATGGAAGTGGGGCAATGAGAAAAGGAGTATATTTAATCCAGGGAATCATAAGATTGGGAAGGCAGAAGAAAGTGGCAGAAAGTTAAAGACACACATGCACATGTGAAAATGGAATTTCATAAATAATTAAACATGAGTTCATGTTTAGGTTTAGAAAGGAAGAGACCTGAATTATGAACACAGGAAAGGATGTGAAAATAAAAATGACTTGGTCCAACAGCCTTCTGCACAACGTCTAGTGGGTCTACTAGCCCAGGGCATGTGTTGGTTAAATGCACAATATTCAAGATGGGCAGAGGGAAGCAGGGCAGTGAACAACCAACTGTAGAAGAATTAATACACCAGGCACCTGCAGCTCAGTATCCTTACCCAGATCCTAAAATAATACCTCTCTTTCCTCCCTCCCCACCATCCCTCTTTGCCCCAGCAAACATTACAGTCATTGTTGATTCTGCTCTCTGACCTGGGTCTGCTTCCATCATCCAAGCTACCCATTCCTTTGTGGCCAGCTGTCTCACACGATTGTCCTTCACCTGCCAGGAACTGGGCACGTCAGCAAACACTGCACAGCAGAATGGCTCCACCTTGACTGCACAGATATATCCGTGGAAGGCTCCCTGACTGCGTACTTCAAGAAATTTGATGGCATATTTTATCTCACTCCTTTGTGTACAGAAATGATGGACAGGTAACTTCCGAATACAACAATCAATAGAAATCTTCACAGAGTTAAGATCTGTTTTCTGTATTTTACATCCAATGACTTGATGGGTCTCATCATCCACACCAAAAAATATATACCCTCCTTCAGTGTTTGCAAATGCCGAAACACAGGTGGGGAGACTCTCCTCAAAGCATTGTGACACTCTTGTTGAGAACATTTTAAATTCAACATGTGTGGACTTAGTAAAGTTGACCTTTTCCAGGTACTGAAGGTGATCCCTATCAAATAAAGTAGCAGCTGAAGCCTTTATGTTATCTTCATTTTGTACACCAACCTGAACTTCCTGTGGACTTAATGAATTGGCATAATTGATATTCATAAGAGTCTGAGGCTTCTCTTTGAGGAATACCAGTGATTCCTGAGAATTCATGACATCAGTAGATGTTCTTTGTCTGTGGTATAAATTGGAGCATAAGGTAGCCAGTCGCACACTGGAGGCCTTTGCATTCCATGATTTCACAAAAATAAGAAAGAGGTCTCCCTGTTGCATCTCATCTAAATAGCCTTTGAAAATTGAAGGTAGATTCAGTCCTACTCCATGAATTTCATAACTGTAATCTTTGTTCTCAATCTCAGCCTTGACCACTCCCCCACCAGAATTCAGCAGAGCACATATTGCATGCAAGATGATGTCATTCTGTTTCTTCTCTAGTTGAGGGTCCATTTCATTCCTTTGCTTATTTCCAAGGATGACTTTTCCTGCATTTAAAACATACTCAGCAAAGTTCGTTTCCAAATCAGTCTTGATACTCATCTTCTCAGCACTTGTCCTATTCTTCCTTTGAAATGTTCTCCTAAAAAAACAGGAAGTTAGAACCATTATAACAGGACAAGAACAGGGGAGGTGGGAAATGGACAGTTTGAGGCCACTCTTCTGAAGTTCATTCGCACAGAGCTGGAGGCCAGATTCATGCATGGATTAAGTATGTAGGACAGGTTGAGGAGCTAACTGCTGGAAGCCCACTGCTCCCTGAGAAATGATCAAGAGGTTATTTTTATGCTGTGATTTTTCCAACTCTTTCTGCTGAGTTTTCTGAGTGGCAAGGTCTCTTAGGTCACCTGCAGAACACAGGAAAATTTACAAAGATACACATGGACTGAAGATGGATGCAGCTGGAAAGCTTTCATGGTCAGAGGTCTCTCTGGGGTGTGCTGGCACTTCTTATTTTTCTTTGTGCTTTGTCTTTCTCCTCTCACTGAGACCTGGGAAATTCCTGGGTTGTTAAAAACCCCAATTTTATATATTAAAAAAATTTAAAAATATATTTATATATGTCATATTTAAATATATACAAATATTTAATATGTTTTTGTATAACAAATATACATATATAATATATGTGAANTATATATATCATGCTATCTGGACAGGGTTCTGGCTCTCCTCCCAACTTCCTTCCTAAAAAACCTGGATTCAGGAAACAAAAGATGCAACCTGAGGAAGAAGCAAATACAATCTCCTGGAAGAATGTGAAGGGAGACCCCAGAAAGATACTGTAGGACAGGCCTAGAGGATCCCCAGCCAAAACTGGAGCAAGATGGCAGCAGGTTTCAGTGGTTGGTGTGTGAGACTATACAACTGATGGGATACTTAGTAAATTAGTCAACAGAGGAGGTAGAGAGTTTGGGGATGAATTAGTAATAGTGACTTAGGTAATGCAAATTAAATATAAGACAGTAACTCTAAGATTAAAATAAAAAGTATAAGAAATAAAACATAACTATAAGCCATTATATGGCACAGCTGTAAGCAAAATGGCAGTCATAATATAAACTCTGAATATTGTACTGGCAGGATGTGGGGAGAGAAAGGGTAGGGTTGGAAGTGTGAGAGAGTGATACCATTGTCTCCACCGCTGGTGGGAATGTAAACAGAAAAACAGAAAATAGCTAAAACTGGGGTGGGAGTGGAGGGGGAGGTAGCTCGGGGTGTAAAGAGAACATAAGCATGATGTTTAGAAATAAATCAATGCCAAAAGAAAAAGCCAAGAGACAAGATATTGCCTAGAAAGCAGGCAAGTGGGGTGAGTTAAGGGGCCACTGATTTCCTTATTATGTCTTAATGGAACTATGACTTTCAGAACTACATGCAGAAGATTTCCACTTCCAGTCTCAATACAGTACCAGGGGCTACATTACTCTCCTGTCTGAAATAACAAAAACATTTTTGAAGATGTAATGCCTGGAAATTTTCCAAATTTGATGTTAACATAAAAAAATTAAGATCAAGATTCAAGACATTCAACAAGGCCCACACATAAGAAATATGAAGAAGATTACACCAAAGCACATCTTAATTATTTTGTTCAAAACCAATGATAAAGAGAAAATCATAAAAGGAACAAGATGAAAAAGACATACTCTATATAGAAGAACAAAGGGTGACAGTAGATTTTTTTGTCAGAAACAAAGCAAGCAAGAAGATAGTGGATCAACATCTTTAAACCACTGAAAGAAAAAAACGTCAGCCTAGAGTTCTGTTTCTACTGAAAAACATCTTTCAAAACTTAATTCAACAAAAAGAAAAACAATCCAATTTTTTAAATGGACAAAGACCTTGAGTTGACATTTCTTCAGAGAAGATATACAAATGGCTAGTAAGCGCATGAAAAATGCTCAGCATCATTAGTCATTAAGGAAATGTAAATCTCAGAACTACAATGAGGTACCATTCTGTTGCAGGAACTGTGAGAACTATGAACAAGGAGCCGGGACACGGAGACGTTTGGCGAGAAGAAGTTTATTAGTACTGGCACTGACTCAGCGGATTCATCTCCGAAGGCTGAGCCCCAAGCCAGCGGGGCCATGGCTTTTACACATTCATTACAAGGGTAAAGGAGAGTCATGCCCCAGGACTGCTGCAGTGGGAGCTGTTAGTGCACTATAGGTTCAGCCACAATATTATGTTTTAACTTACCTCAATAAAGGGTACCTGGCTACTCTATTGTAAACTAATGGGCCTACGTGACTATAATCAACAAGCTGTTCCATATCACTGGGTTCCGGTGGGCGGTACATTGTTACATTGCTTTAAACTCAAGCACCCTGGTATTCCTCTGCGTTCTTAAAGCCTTAAAGAAACGTTGTCCCTTCTCTTGACTTGGCTTCCTACCACAATTTCACTCACTAGGAGGTAATGATGATGAAAAAAGGAAAATAAATGTTAGGGAGGATGTAGAGAAATTGGAATCCTCATATACCGCTGGTGGGAATGTAAAATGGTGAAACCATTGGGGAAAATAGTTTGGAGGTTCTTCAAAAAGTTAAACACAAACTTACCATGGGACCCAGCATCCCACTCCTAGGTACATACCCAACAGAACTTCAAACAGGCTCTCAGACAGATCCTTGAGGCTCAAACAGGTCTATTTACAGCTGCACTATTCATGATAGTCAGAAAATGGAAACAACTTAAATGTCATCAACAGATGAATGGATAAACAAAATTGTGCTATAGCCATATCATAGAATGTTATTCAGCCATAAAAAGGAAAGTATTGATACATGCTTCAACACCGATGTACCTCAAAAACATGCCAAGTGAAAGAAGCCAGACATAAAAGGTCGCTGTTATGGATGGACTATGTATCTCATGTCCCCTCAGAATTTATATGCTGAAGCCCCTAATTCCCTTTGGGATAGTATTAAGAGGTTGGGCCTTTAGGGGTAATTAGGTCATGAGGGTGGAGCCCTCGTGATGAGATTAGTGTCCTTAAAAAAGAGACTCAAGTCTCTCTCTGCTTTCTCCACTATAAGAGGATGTAAGAAGACAATCCAGTTTGTAAACCAGGAGGAGTACCTTCACTGGATCTGTCAAGACCTTGATCTTAGACTTGCCAGCGTCCAGAACTGTGATAAATAAGTGTATGTTGTTTAAGCCACCCTGTCTATGCAGCTTTCATTATAGCAGCCCAGACTGCCTAAGACAGTCACAGATTGAATGGTTCAGTTTATGAGAAACATCCAGAATGGATAAAGTCATTGAAACAGGAAGGAGATTGGTAATTGTCGGGGGCTATGAGAAGAGGAGAGCAGGGAGCAACAGCATAATGGGGTTTTATTGGGGAGTGATGAAAATGTTTTGAAGCTTGATAGAGGTGGTGGCTGCACAGTACTGTGATTATACTGAATGCTACTCATTCGTTCACTTTAAAATGGCTAGTTTTATGTTACATGAATTTCACCTCAATTTTTAAAATCGATCCAAAAAATGAAGGTGAAATAAAAACTCTCTTGGATGTGTAAAAGCTGAGAGACTTCATTAGCAGTAGAACAGTAATATAAGAAGTGTTAAAGAAAGTCTTCAGGTAAGAGGAAAATTATATCAGTTGAAAAGCAGATATACAGAAAGCAGTGAAAAATGCTGGAAATGTTTACATGGGTACATATGAGAGAGATTCTAAACTTAAATCTCTCTAAAGGAGGAAGAAAATTGGAGTACTAATATTAATTGATTTTCAAGCCTTATTCTACAGTTAAAGTAACTAGTATGGAATTGGTATAAAGACAAATAAATAGATCCATGGAATAGAATAAAGAGCCCCAAAATAGACCTACATATATATGGACAACCAAGGTGCGAAGTAGAGAAAGTGCAATCTTTTCAACAAATAGGACTGGAATAATTGGATATCTGTACAAGAAGAACCACACTTCATATTCCACACAATTCACAAAAATTTACTTTAAATGTGTCATAGACCTAAACATAAAATCTACCTAAAATCTGAAACTACTTCATTTATTTAAATGAAGTCTACCCAAATGAGAACAGGCAGAGGCTATGTATTCAGAGCTTACTATATTAAGGAAGTCAGCCACCATCACTTGTGATGGCAGAGACTCAAAGGCAGGCAGAAGAATGGGAATGAAAAAAGAGAAGGCTCAGGAATGTGCTGATCTGAGGTGGGTATTCTAGGGAAGCTGAAGGCGGGCTTACAGAAACAAGGCATCTTATGTGACTCGTTTGGAGAGCCTGTTTTCACTTTCTTTGGTTGGTTCTGAGTTGGGGCAAAAATTTTGGAAGGTGGGAGTTATTAACCATGTCCTGACCATTTTTGACCAACTGCTGCAAGAGATGTGGTTCGGCTTCCTCAGCTGGCTGCAGAGGTCATGGGTCAGAGTTCTTTTTTTATACATGGTCTGGCCACTGTCCATTTGTATATTCAGTCTCTTAACCTCAAAACTTGTAGAGGAAAACAGGAGAAAATGCTTTTACTTGGGTTCAGCAAACATTTCTTAGAGATGATGCTAAATTCACAGTACACAAAAGAAAAAACTGATATACTGGACTTTTAAGAATGTCTTCTTTTTGGAAGCCACTTTTAAGAGAATGAAAATAGAAGTCCCTGACCAGAAGAAACTTTTTCAAATAATTCAGCTGATAAAGAATGTGTACTTACATACAGTGGGGAAATGACAGCCTCTTCAACAGCTGGTGTTGGCAAAACTGGACAGCTTCATGTAAGAGAATGAAACTGGATTACTGTCTAACCCCATACACAAAAGTAAATTCAAAATGTATCAAAGACCTGAATGTAAGCCATGAAACCATAAAACTCTTAGAAAAAAACATAGGCAAAAATCTCTTGGACATAAACATGAGCGACTTCTTCATGAGCATATCTCCCTGGGCAAGGGGAAAAAAAGCAAAAATTAACAAGTGGGACTATATCAAGCTGAAAAGCTTCTGTACAGCAAAGGACACCATCCATAGAACAAAAAGGCATCCTGCAGTATGGGAGAATATATTCATAAATGACAGATCCGATAAAGGGTTGACATCCAAAATATGTAAAGAGCTCATGCACCTCAACAAACAAAAAGCAAACAACCCAATTAGAAAATGGGCACAAGAGCTGAACAGACAGTTCTCCAAAGAAGAAATTCAGATGGCCAACAGATACATGAAAAGATGCTCCACATTGCTAGTCATCAGAGAAGTGCAAATTAAAACCACAATGAGATATCACCTCACACCAGTAAGGATTGCCACCATCCAAAAGACAAATAATAACAAATGTTGGCGAGGTTGTGGAGAAAGGGGAACCCTCCTGCACTGCTGTGGGAATATAAATTAGTTCAACCATTGTGGAAAGCAGTATGGAGGTTCTTCAAAAAGCTCAAAATAGAAATAACATTTGACCCAGGAATTCCACTTCTAAGAATTTACCCTAAGAATACAGCAGCCCAATTTGGAAAAGACAGATGGACCCCTATGTTTATTGCAGCACTATTTACAATAGCCAAGAAATGGAAGCAACCTAAGTGTCCATCAGTAGATGAATGGATGAAGAAGATGTGGTACATATGCACAATGGAATATTATTCAGCCATAAGAAGAAAACAAATCCTACCATTTGCAACAACATGGATGGAGCTAGAGGGTATTACGCTCAGTGAAATAAGCCAGGTGGAGAAAGACAAGTACCAAATGATTTCACTCATATGTGGAATATAAAAGCAAAGAAAAACTGAAGGAACAAAACAGCTGCAGACTCACAGATCCCAAGAAAGGACTAACAGTTACCAAAGGGAAAGGGACTGAGAAGAATGGGTGGGAAGAGAGGGAGAAGGGGGGAAAAGAAGAAAGGGGACCTTATGATTAGCATGTACAATGTGAGGGGAGGGTACGGGTAGGGCTGTGCAACAGAGATAAGACAGGTAGTACTGATTTTACAGCATCTTACTATGCTGATGGACAGTGACTAATGGGGTATGTGGGGTGGCTTGGTGAAGGGGGGAGTCTCGTAAACATAATGTTCCTCATGTAATTGTAGATTAATGATACCAAAAAAAAAGAATGTGTACTTAGATTACATATAGGATTCTTGAAAGGCAATAATAAGAAAACAAACAACCTGATTTAAAAATGGATAAAAGATGTTAACAGATACTTCACCAAAGAATGTATGTAGATATACCTGACGTACATAAAATGCTGTTCAACATTATGACACATTAGGGAAATGCCAATTAAAACTACAATGAGATACCACTCTACATCTGTTAGAATGGCTAAAATGACAAGCCATACCAGATGTTGGCAAGGATGTGGAGAAAAGGGAAGTATACATTCCTGGTAGGAACATAAAGTTCATTTTTCCATTTCAGAAAAGAGTTTGGTAGTTTCATACACTTATCATATGACCCATCTCCTCCACTCCTACGTATTTAGCTAAGAAAAATGAAAACATATGTCCATCAAAAACTTGTGCATATATGTTCATAACATTTTTACTTATAAACGCCATAAACTGAAAACAAGTAAAATGCCCATTAACAGAAACAAAATTTGTTTATCCTTATAATGGAATACTACTCAGCAATAAGAAGGAAAAAGTTCTTGGTACCCACAACACAAATGAATCTCAAAATAATTTTTCTGAGTGAAAGAAGCCAGACAAAAAAGAGCACATATGACTCCATTTGTATAGAATTCTAGAAAGAGCAAACTTACCTATAGTGACAGAAAGCCAACCAGTCACTGCTTGGAGATGGTGGGGGGAGGTAGGGACAAAAGAATGGGAGGTGGGGTTTACAAAAGGGCACTTCTGGGGGTGCTATACATGGTCACTATCTTGATTGCAATTTTGGTTTCATGTGTCAAATGTATCAAATTGTACACTTTAAATATGTGCAGTTTATTGTCTGTCAACAATACTTCTTAAAAGCTTTTAATAAGTACATACGTGAATGATGGTGAAAATAAGTAAAACATTTTATGATAGTATAATTAGCTCAAAAACTAGTAGATTTATTTGACTGCTATTACTGAGTTTTTTCCATAGCAACTAAACCTTTGATAAGATTAGTGTTACAGAGTTCTGAATTCTGCACACTCCAGATGGAGACCTTTGTATGGCTCCATATTCAGTTGATGATAATCACTAACACACCCTGTCCTTTCCTTTCCATGCTGTAAACGTACACTTCTCAGACCTACCCAGTCCTCTCTCACTGGGAGTCTAGTACTTGGTGTGGAAAACAGCAGGCAGCCCTTAACTGCCAGAGAAAATTAGGTCAGCTAAATAAGAGAAAACTTGTTTGGAAAAGGAAGCTCTTTTCCCTTACAGGCACATAAAAGCAGGAAGTATTCATTTAATAAAACTGCCCTTGTAGATTTTCTCTTCTAGTAAAGGAATCCTCTGATACCTGGTCTTCAGAGACTGCTGATCTGGCCCACCAACGTGTCCATGAGCCTTGAGAGACACTGTAACTATGAATGGTTGTTTATTTAATGTCCCGTGGCCATGACAGTATTAAAATTGATTTCTGTTTTCTGATGGGCATCAACAACTGTGAGTTTTCATAATCAGTTCAGGAGCAGATCATCACATTTCAGTCTCGTTCCACATGCATGCAATAATACTAAAGTGTGTGATGGCTCATTTTCTTATTTAAACAACAGTTGAAGAGTCCTGGGACATTTAAACGAACACTTCTGACACGGTCTGGCTAGAGGAACACTCCCTTGGGCCCCCGACAGATGGAAGAGGCCTAAGTTTCTCTTTCCCCATCAAGTCGGGCATTTCCTCGCTAGCTCCTGGATGGCGCAAAGCCAGGCAACGTGGGCCACGCCCCCATCTCCCCCTAGAGACTCAGCTCTGAGATCCGCGTAGGTGGGGAAACGGGGAGAAGCCACAGCACCATCGAGCGACCCCGCTTACCTCCCTAGTCCTCAAGGAATTCCTTCTGGCTCCTACAGCAGTCGTGAGCAAAGGGGGGAACGGAATCACCGCAGCCCAGCCTCTGTGGACAGAACCCACGCGAGTTCTCCGTGGCCACTTGGGGCATACAGGGCTTCGTGGGCTATCCTGGGGGCCTGCCCAGCCTGTGCGATGCTGTGACAGTTTGAGGACTGACGTCCCAAGCCAGGGGTTCACGGGCAATCCTCGGAATACAGCCTCCTGTAATAATCTGGACACTGACCCTACTGGTCCTCAGGCCACAGCCTCACTGGTTCCGTCTTCAGGAGCCTCAGACCCTACCTTTGCTGTTTCCTCTGAAGTTCTTCGTGCTCCTGAACCGCGGGGAAATTTTACCAGGCTCGGTGGGGTAAGATATAGGCTGTGCTGCTGCGCGCCTCTCCCTCCTCGCCAGCTCCCTCAGCTCCCCGATCCTCCACTGTCCTGGCCGTTGGAAGTTGCTACTGATTTCGCAACCAACCGAGCGTCCCGAGCGGGAAAGGAGCTTAGCAGGCTGCGCCGGGGCCCTGGGGCTGCGGTCGCCGCATCCCGCCTTCGCCACAGCGGGGTCGGGGAACGGACGCGGACCTGGGGAGGGAAAGAAACCGAGTTTTTGAGGGACCTGGGCAAAGAAGCGCGGGGGACTGCTTACCCGCCAAGGTGTCCCCTCTGCAGCGCGCCTCCTTGGCCTGAGAAAGCGACGGCGCCTCCCAACTCCGGAGCAGAGACTGACTGCAGGGTCCAGGCTTTATATCAGCTGCCGTCGGTGACACCTCAAGGGGCGGAGCACGAGGCAGGACAGTCCACCAGTATGGCTTCTGTGGCCCGGGAAGCCCACTCCGTCAAGGACTACAGCCTCCGTTACCTTCAAAGGATACGGGTAGGATGCGCGGTTTTGGGGTGGGGGAGGGTCTTCTTCTTTGTTGCATCTCTCTTTTCTGATTTTTTGGAGATTTGCATTTCTCACCCCCCACCCAAGGAGGGAGATCTGAGTGCAACCCCACGCCTGCCACCCCTCCTGGACACCCCAGGCTCGGGTACGCTCAGCCGGTCTCTGCCCCCAACGCCCCCAGCCGGTTGATTCCTGCTCGAATTGTCCCACCAGCACAGGGTTTTCCCGCTGGGCGAGGTAGAAAATGAAGCCTCCGCTTTCTTGCCTCCCCACCCCCCAGTAATTCCAGAAAACTGATTCTGCAGCCCTTTACGGGTGACTTAATTTGTAAGGTGTGATAACTGCTTCTGAAAATTCCAGGAGAGGGTCGCCGCTTGGAAGAACCCGGGCAGGCTCCGGCCATGGCGTTTTGGTGAAAAAAAGGGACATCCTTTAGAGTCATCTGCCCACTGCGAATTTCCAGGGCTTGTGCAAGACCGTCAGTTTCCCGCTTGCTCTTCCTAAAGTTAATATCGAACATACCGTGGGCGCTCAGGAAGGGTCCCCGGGCCAGGTTCTGCTGACCTGCCCGCGCTGGTGGCACGTGTCGCTGCCCCGCGGTGTCCGTGCGGTGGACCCAAGAGGCGGTGCAGCAGGACGAAGGGGGCCAGGAGCGTGATGCCTGGGCACTGATCCGAGCTCGTGCCCCCAGGGGTGTAGATAGCGCTTGGGGACCCTTGCAGCATTCAGTCTGGTTCTGACTGTAACTGCTCCTCTCTGGCGGCAACTTCCTTCTGTCTTCGTCGGCCCTCTTAAAATTCTGGTAGATTTTTCTCCATCTCATCACTTCCAACTCCCGTGTCCACAGCCGGCAGGGCTGCTGGAGCCCTCTCAGCAAACTCTTTCTCTCCCATCTCCAAAAGATCGAGGTCTCAGTGGACAGGGCTGAAGAACCTGAGGCCACCTGCAGAGCCTGGGCAAATGGGGACTTGGCCCCAGCTGTCTGGTAGAGGTCTCTCTCTCCCAGTTTCACTTCTCAAGACTGGGTCAGACCCAGCCAGACCCCTTGGGCATGAGGAGAATCTCAAGCTTCGAGCTAATGGGAAAGGACTGGAAACAGGTAATTGTAGAACAGTACGTGTCTCTGGTGAGTCTACCTCATCGTTGCCCAAGTGCACTCAAATCCCTGCCCAGAAAGTATGTTGTCACCTCTAGCAGGGGACCTTCACAGCTGGGGCTGCCCAGGGAAAAAAGGACGCTGGCCAGTTACCAGAAAATCAAAGAGGAGGGAAATGAACTTCTGGAGGACACCACCTGTGATCATCTCTGGAGGCTGGGGCTAGAGGCTGGCTCTTCATTTTTTAAAGTATTGTCAAATAGCTAAGGTGTATGGAAAGTCCAAAAATAATAATACATTGAGGATCCATCCACCACCCAGCTTAAATGATAAAACATAAGCAGTACTTTTGTATAACCCTACCCCCAAAACTGGTCTCATACCCTCTACCCGTCCCCTACTCACCCGATACCAGTACAGTATTCTGAATTTGAAGTTGCTATTTCCACACAATTCTGTATACTTTTATTACATGTGTATAAGTCACTCATACATAACATTTGTCTCACACATTTATATACACTTAAGCCATATGTAAATAGTATATTGTATCCGACTCCTTAACATTTTGTTTTAAAGATCTATCCATATATCTAGATGATTCATTTCACTGTTGTATGAGCTGGGTCCTTCCAGTTCACCCTTCCATCCATCCCCTTCATCCCCAAACTATCCAGGTCTCCTCAACTTTTCCTGCAAAAGACCTTAGCTCCCACCGGCTGTGGGGTCATGATTGTCCCAGGGCTCCTCTCCCAGGCCTTCTTCCTGGTGTTAAGCTTCTGGAGGGTCAGGAGAAAAGGGGTGCTTTGGTGAAATGTTGCCCCCCCAGTTGTATGCATGTGCATTTGTTTTGGGCGTAGGAGAGGAGTGATTTATTCTTAGTATTTACTTGAGAATAAATGTAAAACTCTTAGGTTTGCTCTGTCCAAGAGTAGGAAATACCAAAAGCAACTATGGTCACACACAAACACACATGGGATGATACAACATTTACTATTTTTTTCTCCTTCTCAAGGTAATCAGGGAGCAAGCTAATGAGACAGGAGGTATGTTACAGGGACCTTACGAGGTTCGGGCAGTCAGTCCCTCCTGGGAAGGCAATCACTGTACTAAAGAGAAACACTGACTAGGCCAGCCATGTGTCTGTGACCTGTACAAGCGCTTGTGGTGAAGGTCACAATAGGGCTGGAGACTGCATGTCATGGTCTGTCGTTATTCCTCCATAGAAAACCCCATTCAGCGTTCTCCATGAAAGACCCAGGGAGACTAACGCTGGGGCCCCATGTTCAGTGACACCAGTTGTGATGCGACAGCTATTACTAGGGGACTGAGATTTAGCATAGAGCCTTATCAGTGCTTTCACAGTTTTTCTTTTAAACCTAAGCAACTTGCTTGTAATATTCTCTCTTCAGGCAAAAACATATTTTCCATTTTCTTCTTTTTTACTTTTCTGATTACAAATTTTAAAAATAAATTTTACATAAATGTGTTTATGATATTTCTTAAGAATAGTGTTTGCCATTTGATAAAACAGAATGAAAACCTCATTGAAACAAATTTACTTGGAGGACGTAGATGAGGCATCCTTTACAAATGTATATGCAAATCACACACATCAGAGAGGATGGTGGGGAGAATCTCAGCTCTCTGGCCTGAGATCCCAGAGCACCGTGATGTTTCTCCTGTCCCAGTGGGTGATTATGCTTTTCCTGAAGGAGCCGGGTTGGTGGGAGCCTGATGCTCCATTTGCTTTTGCAGGTGTACGAAAGCGAAAGCACGTATGACTCAGTGTTTTCTCTCTGTGCTCTCCCTCAGATCCAGTGTGGTAGACAGAATAATGGCCTCCTAAAGATGTCCACATCCTAATCTCCAGAATTTATAAGAGGTGATGTGACATGGCAGGGGGAATTAAGACTGCAGAGAAAATTAAGGTTGCTGATCAGCTGACCTTAAAATTAGATTATCCTGGAATATCTGAGCAGGCTCACTGTAATCACAAGGGAAGAAGGGAGTGATGTATGGAAGAAGGAGGCAGAAGAGTGAATGTCAGAGGGATGTGCTGTGACAAAGACCTGACCAGCCATTGCTAGATTTGAAGATGGAAGGGGGTCACAAACCAGGGGATACCAGCAGCTTCTAGAAGCTGGATTCTCCCTTAGAGAATCTCCCTAAAAACAGATCTCCCTTAGACCCTCCAGAAAGGAATGCAGTCCAGCTGATACTTTGACTTCAGCCCACTGAGACCTATTCTGGGCTTCTGATATCCAGAACCGTATGGTAATACATTTGCATGGCTTTGAGTCACTATATTTGTGGTGATTTGTTACAGCAGCCTTAGGAAACTACAACAGGGATTCAGACCACAGGACAATAGCCTTCCATCCACCTGTTCCCCTATTCAGTGAGGAATCACAAAGATCCCACAACAGCTTGTGAGAGAAATAGGACATCTAAAATCAGTTCTCATAAGGGTCCCACGACCCTTTCAAAGGGGCCACTAGGTCAAAACTAATTTCATTAGAGATAAAGACATAGATACATAGAGAGAGAGAGAGAGATTCAGGTTGTTCTTCCTCCTCTGCCCCACCTCATACACACACTTGCCAGGGGCAATGGTGCAGGAGTCCACAGGGATAAAATCAGGGCAGCCAGGATGATGAGTTTAGGGATCTAGCCTCCACTGTTCACTAACGCCCCCTCCCTCCTCCAAACCCGGAGAGCCAATGATTGGCTCTACAGGAAGTGTCTCCCCTAAACCTATTGTCCTTGGGGTACTGAAAGTAACAGCCCTGACCCGAAGACTCACTTTCCTTGGGGGAGGAATACTAAACTGAAGTGTTTAAACATGATTTTCTGGTGTCTGGGTCTGTCCACACTCGCACTCATTTCCTTGGCTCTTTTCCAGCCCCTGCGGCTGCGATGAATTAGCATCGGGCTTTTGTCCCTGCCCCACCACACAGTGTAAACGAGCTCAAAATAAAAAGGGTTTTAAAATTCAATTACCTACATTTTCAAGTTTGTTTTTTCTTCCATTGGTAAATCTATACTGTCAATGTTCCAATTTTTTAAAATTCTAAGGGGAAAAAAAAACAGAAAAAAGGGAGGGGAAACATAGACTTACCACCCAAACCCTGTTAGCATTGTGATGTATTACATTACGCCTTTTTTTGTAAAAAAATATATATTTAAAATTTTTCAGATCAGTAATTAAATAATACTAGATTTTTAATATATATTTTTACTGTTTACAGAAGTCAGAGGAGACTCTAAGCTATCACAGGAAAAATATCTCTGTTCTCTTGTTGCAAATTGTCCAAAAGCAAGAATGAGAAATGAAACACAGTAACCTCAGCCCTCACATAACTGTCAACAAGGAATAAGGGCTGGAGGGCAGGACAGGTGGAAGAGAAACCTGCAGTACAGATACTGGGTGCAGCCAGCAAACTGAGAGCTCTCCTTAGGGGGTGATTTACAGACCCTGAACAGGAAGGTCAAGGACTACTTGTTTATAACAACCAGACTGAAGGGCGGAGGTGGGCTTAAGGGCTTTCTTTATCCCTGGATTGACAGCAAAGATTGGCAAAGGAGACCCATCATCTTTGCAAATCACTCTTCAGGGCTGAAAAGATCTGTGAGAGACCAACAGCTCTGCCGCTGCCAATATTTAGCATCTGAAAAGAGGAAAGCCACAACAATCCTCCGAACAATTAATTATCAAACCTTGTGCAATATTTACTGCGAATCAGGGAAACTTTGGTGCCCCAAGCATTGCCCTGGCCCTGTTCCCACACTACGCTCCTGCAAGCAGCTTGATCCAGGAAACAAACATCTCACCCTGGAGAAAAGAAAACAGAAAAACCAAAACCCAAACTCTGCGTGGATACATGGGAAGGGAGAGCACAAGTTGACAGCTAAGGAATGGGCCTGGAGAGCCCCTAGTCAGTATCTAAGGGCAAAGGGTGCAGGGAATATGTCCCTAGGATACCGAATTGAGGTTAACTGGTAGTGCAGTTGATGTGTTTGATTAAGAACAACAATTTCCTGGGACAAGCCAGAGAATTTGGAGATAAATTAGTGTTAGATACATAAAAAACTGAAACAAAAATTAAGATGATCACAAATCCTAAGCAAAGCAGAAAACTGTACATGAAACGAAAGGCACTCATAGTATATCACCTAGCCCAGCAATGACTAGAGTCATAACAAGGTAAACACTGAATATTGTTCTGCTTCAAAATGATGATATAACCATATTGGCAGGATGTGGGGAGGAGAAGACAGGGAGGGAGTGTAACTGAACTAAGTCTTCTGGAAGTGAATAGATGATTCCTATTTAAAACCTAAACCTGCACTACTTGGAAACAGAGGCATGTACTGAAAGAAATATCAAAGTGTCACCTCTGGGAAGAGGGGTGGGGCAGAAGGCTGCTAATTTTATTCTAAGTTTTGTAGAAGAGTTCAACTTTCAAAGCCATGTGCATATATAATTTTAAAATTTGCATATAAAATTTATAAAATTTCTTATTATAATTACTTAGAAAATAGTAGGCAATGTGTGTGTCTCCTTTTATGGAGCTTTTCTCTCCATATAAACTCGGATTTTGATAGAATCTGTGTTTGTAGTCCCATATTCTTGGCACCCCTGTGGATGTAAAACTCTACACCTGCTATAGTTCACATAATCATAGTAATCCCATCATGACCTTCTTGCATTTCGGGTGGGGGGGGTCTGGCATCTGTTTTCTCCAGGACAACTAGTAAAATTGCAGTGCTTGGTTCTAAAAATTGCAGACCTTGGTGAAAAAAAAACTCAATAAGATAAGCAGATAATGTCCCTCTGTCCCTTTATAACTGCAGAAAGCAGGTATACCTCAGGTAAAGCTGTCTTTTCAAATTCTATTTCTGACAGATGGAGAATTGTATAATTCCTGGACTTCAGAGAGGGTGGTTGTGGCTTATGAAAGTAAATCACTAACTGCTGAAAACTTCAACAACCCTTAGTATTCTTAGAGGGGTTGTTTGAATAATATGCTCTGATAACATTGAAACTGACACCTTTTTCCTGCAAGGATTACACGCTTAACAAATTTGCTTTTCCAAGCCAGAAGAAGGAAGAAGAGCTCTTCCCCCTTCTCCCACATACACTGAGATAACGTTTATGCTTCTGCTCAATTTCTTAAGAGTTTGGGGATTTGTGTTATATTTAAATTAATATTTCTTACCCAGGAACTGCTGCCATGCCTGGGGGCTGACCCTGCCTAATGGCATGCACCTGAAACTCTCACTCCACCTTTAAGTTCCCCTGGTGCCACCCGGCGGACACTCTGCACTGTCACCTGCAGGTGTCACCAGCTCTGCAAGCAGCAGCCGCTCCTCCATTCTTTCCCATGACCTCTATTACCTTTTTATTGCTTAATGTTAAGAATTTATTTATAAAGCTTCTTTGTTGTACAGTAAGCAAAAATGGTGTTACAACCTCAGTGCACCTGAGAGTTATGACTCGTTATGACCAATCACAGCTACCACATTACAGCAGAAAGTTACACAAAAACTTGGCAACACTTAACATTTTGTTGGGGTGAAGTCCCCAAGCATGGGGGAAGGCAGAATGTCACAAGAATTGTCTTCAGGTGGGTGGGTAGGTGTCCCGGAGTTTGTCATCACAGACACTTTTTTTTTTAACAGCTACCAACTCCATATGAGCAGTCCCATCAATCCTGAACTGATACCTACTAGCATTTTCCCTTCCCAGACTTGGGGGATCCCCTCAGCCCACCTTTCAGTCCTCCCTGCCTCAGGCTCTACCCTAGAGGATTCCTTGCTGGCTCCCACACCCACCACAAAGAGACGGAGAGGAAATAAATCTCTTTTCTCACAGGCCTCAACCTCTGGGACGGGCACCCTATGTAAGTCTGGTTGATCTTTGTAATGGGATTCACTGGGCTCAGTGGGCTAGCTCAGCACTCACCCAACACACCAAATGTTGCTCTTCTACAAAGACATCCCAGACAATCGCTCACAGGTGAATATCTAAAACACAACTGGTTGGGAAATAATCTCAGGGACTTATTTGTACCTGAGATCCAAAACTCACTACCTTGCTTGGGTCCCAGAACTTTGGCTCCAAGTATGGCTGTTTCCTCTGAAATCTTTCATGTTTTATGAAAGAATTTGATGAGCCATGAGGAAATCTTGTTACCTTGGTAAATTTAGGTTAATTGGGTTTTGGACTTCAATACTAAGAGGGAAGCAGCCCACAGAACTCGGAACCCCAAAGATCAGTGCCAGAGTGGCATACAGGCAGACCCACGTAGAAAAGGGAAGTGACAGATGTACCCTCCTTCATTAGCATTTACCCATATAGCATTTAGCATTTTACTGTATCGCGAGCGTTTTCCGTATCTCTCCCCTCCTTAGAGATTATAAAACCCTATGGGAGAGTACGGCGGAATTTCTCCGTACCTCTGTACACCTGCAGCTTCTGCTTGCTCTCGGGGTGCGCGGGAGGAGGCACGTCCAGGAACTCTGGAGCCCCGGCCTTGTTTGTGCAAAAGGCCCTTCGCTTGTCCCGCCAGGCTGAGAGAGCAGCCTCTCCTCACCCCGAAAACCCCCCTCTGTGCTTCACTGGGCGCGCAGGTGGTGACATCTGGCCTAGTCTGCTCCCCACCCGCCCCAACCCGGCCGGCCCTTACCGCCCCCACGCGCGCTTTTCCGGGGAAGTCCCTGCAGGGCCGTCGGCTGGAAGGGCGACAGCGGCGGCCGTGGCGCGTGGCCCGAGGGCTTCCCACACTCTGCGCCGTCGCGCACACGCTCCGCATCCCGCGCGCTCTCGCGCCGGAGCGCGCTCCCAGCCGTCGCGCGCCCGTTTGGCGGGCTCAGCTGCGCAGTCCCCGCCCCGGGGAGGTGGAAGTGTGCGCCGAGCGGAGTGAAGGAGGAAGGAACCCGAACCTCGGCTTCCACAGAGGTATGCTTCCCGCTCTTCATTTCTTCAGGCTGAGACTCTTGAAGCGTATGCGTCTAAGGCAGAGTTTCTTAGCCCCACTAGCGCCCTGGAATTTGGCTCTGAGTGGTGACGGGCGCTGGTGTTGGAGTTCAGAGAAAACAAAAGCGAGCGAATAGTTGCTGAGCTCTGACAGCGTGCCAGCCTCCGCTCCAGGGGCCCTGCTGGACGTTCCACCAGCCCACGAAGGAGAAGGGCGCCAGGAACAGGCTGCACCGACAGATGACTCGAACCCGCAGCTCCTGGGAGTCTGCGGGGGCAGCCCCCGGGGGGGGGGGAGGTTAGGCCATTCCCGGATTCAACTGCGCTGTCAACCGGAGCCCCTCCCTGGAACCTTGGTGCATAGAAGTCTCTCCGTTTCACCAGTGCCCGCTTTCCTGCCCAGAACCCTTAGTTTCCTAAACACACTGAGGCCAGATGGCCTCCATTTCCTGGGGGGATTTGCAAATATGAACTGCGCTTCCTCGCCAGTCCCCGGTCCCCCTAAAGTGATTCGTGGAGTTACAGATCCACGAATAGGGAAGCTCATTCTGGTAATCGTATTGCAACGCTGCCATGAGGAACGGAAAATATCAAACGGATTAAAGGAAGGGAACTAACGAATATCAACCATTCGTTATACTCAGAACCAGGTGCTTTAGATCCATTCTTTTATGTAATCCTCACATTCTAAGACATGGATACTTTTTAAACTAAGTCTTTAAAAAGCATTATACAGAAAAGTGCACAAACAATAAGCTTGATGAAAGTGAACACTCCCAGGCCAAAAATTAGACGCTCTGTGGGCCCCTCCCCATCACTGTGCACTCCCTTCTCCCTACAAGTAAATAGTATCCTGACCTGTAATATCAGAGGGTAGTCCTGCCTAGTTTTGAAGCTACATAAATGGAATCACTATACAGTATATTTTTAGGTCCAGCTTCTTTCACTGAATATTGTCTAGTTAGCTCTATAGTGTATGTAGCAGTAGTTTGTTCACTCACACTGGTGTATCAACACTGACTTACCCATTTTCTGTAGAGACTGGGGTTATTTCCACTTGGATGCTGTGATGAACAATGTTCTCTCTGTTATACATGTTTTTTGGTGCACAAAAGTACATATTCTGTTGGCTGTGTACCTTGGAGAGGCTGGCTATGCCTATGGACAATTTTAGTGTGTATATCAAATATATTTTCCTAAGTGGCTGTAGCAATCTACATTCTCATTCACAGTGTGTGAGTGTTCCAGTTACTGCACATTCACACCAACACTTGTTTTTGTCAGTGTTTTTAATAGCTATTCTGACGGGTTTATAGTGCCTTCTCATAATACTTTTATTTTCCACCTTTCTGATAACTAGTAAAGCTGAGCATCTTTTCATACACTTACTGGCCTCGTTTGAAGTATCTGTTCAATCAGTTTGCTCCAACTTTATTCTTTAAAATATTCATTGCTATTCTTGACTTTTTGCATTTTCATATACATTTTAGAAACAAGCTCTCGGTCTCTCCCAAAAGCCTCACAGTTTGATTGGTATTTCATGGAATTTATATGTCAATTTGAGGATAATTTACACTCTCTAAAATGTTGAGTTGTCCAGCCAATGAACACGATAATATCTCTCATTTATGTAAGTTTTCTTTTGTTTCTCAGGATGTTTTAGTTTTCTGTGTAAAGTCCTTCAACATCTTTCATGATTTATTCCTAACCACTTGATGTGTTTTATGTTATTATAAATGGTATCATGTATTAAATTTTTATTTCCAAATTGTTTGTTATAGGTATACAGAAATACAATTGATTTTTGTAAACTGACCTTGTCTCTAAGTTCACTTATTATTTCTAAGAGTTTATCTGCAGATTTTTTGAGATTGTATACATGTACCATCCTATTGTGTAAATAATTTGAAAGTTTTGTTTCTCAGTTTTCAATCTTTATGTTTCTAATTTCCTTTTGTTGCCTTGCTGCTGTAGCTAGACCCTGCAGTGCAAAGTCAAGTAGAGTTGGTAATAGCAAGTAGTATTGTCTCATTCTTAATCTCAGGCAGATTGTTAAGTATGATATTGGCTGTAAATTTTATACAGACAACTTTTATCAGACTAAGGAAATCTATTTTTAGTTTGCTGAATGTTTAATTTTATGAATGGTTTTTCCTGTATCTATTAAAATAATGATTTAAAAAATTTTTTAATGTGATAAATACAAATGTGATGTAAGCTAGACCTATGAGAGTTGTCCCTGGGAATTTTGCTGGGTTATTGAACCATAATTATGAACAATAGCAACTATGTAAGTCTGGAGCTTCCAGGGACTATCTTTCCTTCCACATGGAGAGAGCCTGCCAGAAAATAAGGTCTACCCAGAGGAAATCAAATCCAAGATACAGGGAGAGATGAGAGAGAAATAAAGACACACACAGAAAAAAAATATTGGTGACAGCACTTGAACCCCTGGATCTAATAATATCAACCTTTTCTTGGATAGATAAGACATATGAACCAGGAATTTTTCTTTAACTTAAAGTGCTTTGAGTTGATCTTATTCATATTTATCATGTCCATGTTGTTTGGAAGATTTTCCCAAGCAAACTGCAAAAATCACATCACACTCTTGAATATCAACTGTGTTTCCATCACAGTTGAGTGATGGGAATATGCACAGTGCTGAGACAGGGCACTGCCACTGAAATATGCAGTTCTAGGCAGCTTTATTCAAATAGCATGCGAGTGACAGTATGGAAATCACACAGACCCACACCCAGATACAGCAGCACTAACCTTTGTAGTCACACATCTGTTAGGTCCACCCTTACCACACAAACCATTTTTTAAAATACAAAGAACTTCAGCCCATCATCCTGGCCTTTGGAATGGGTACAGAAAGGATCATCCAATCTGTCTTCCAAATTCTAGATGAAAGGTACTCTAGGAATTTCTGGACCATGACAGATCTGAGACAAGGAGCAAGAGAGCCAATGCAACATCCAAACTTTCCTAGGGCAAAGGGAAGGGTTCACAACCAGGGAGCAACCAAGTCTTCCTCCTACACAGAGACTTCACTGTCCCTGCTATGATCCCTAGTGGAACCGACACTTGGGGAGTGCCCAGCTCAGGACTCTGCACAGTTCAGAACCAGCCCCAGCATCCCTCTGGGCCTCTATGACACTGGTTTAATGAAGCCATAGTCCATGCACTTGATGAGACACTCCCGGGCTGTCTGAACCACTGCTGCCTTCTTCTCATCCGGCTCTTGCTTGCCCACCACAGTCAGGATCTCCAGCAGCTCGCTCTCCATCAGCTTCTTGGCCAGCTCAACATCAGCGGCGAGCAGGTTGTAGGCAATGACCAGGCCCCGGTGCTGAACTGACAGCCGGTCATGCAGGCAAAGCCTCTGTAGGATCTCCAGCCACTGAGTGGTCTATAGGGGAGAGGTGGGGAAGGGAAGATGGGAGGAATCAGTGGGGAGACAGACATAGAAGGCTTCAGATGAAATAAACAGAAGGCATTGGCCAGGCCCAGATTCTGGGCTCTGAAAGGGCAAACACATACCTGGTTATCTGTATGGTACTCCACACATGCCTACTGGAGCCTCGGGGACTAGCTGGCTGATGCTCATCTCATTACCAGTACCAAGGCAATCAGAGAACTAGAGGGATCTTGTAATAACCCAATCTCTTTCATTTTACAAGTGTAGGGGAAGTGACTTAGCTATGCTCCTACATCTGGAAATAGTAAAGAATAATACCACCCATCCATTTATTCTTTAAGCATCTTGAGAAGCAAAGGGACAGGCCCAGTGCATGCCTGAGTGGAATGAGGTTGGAGGGTGTTCAGAAAGGAGGATTCTAACCCTGGGCACATAGACAATGCCTGCATCTACCAATCCAGGTGCACTTAGAGACATGAGCTCCGGGTATGAGCTCTCCAAGCCTCAGAGCCGCCTCTGTCATCTGCTATGCCTACCTCTTAACATTGTGACGATTTAATGGTATGACACATGGGAAGAGCTCAGCATGAGAGCCAGAGCATAGTAAGAGTTCAACAGACACAAGTGAACAGGGACGATGGTTTAAGGCACTAATCCAAAGATTCCCTTTTGCTTCTTCATAACCTTGCTTTCACCCTCCATTTGTCAGTGGGGATAGCTCTCTACAGACACTGCTCTCAGATGGGGAGGCAGACACAGGGGAAGAAAGGCCAATTACTGGCTTCTGAGCTTCTGAGCAGAATTTTGTTAATTCTTCACTGAATCTCCTAACACAAGGAAAGGAGATGAAAATTCAGCTTGCTGTGGTGAGGCTCAGGGGAAGATTTAATGCTCACAGGTAACTGATAATGGGTCCAGCGCCCATCACTCCCTGGGATAGGAATGCAGCTAAGATTTCTGAGCCCCTTGAGAAGAAGGAAGAAGCGGCCAGGGGTGAGTCGGCAATCCTGAAGGATTCCAACCCCTTCCCAACTACTCGATCATGGGGCTTTGGGCTAGTTACTTTTCTGCACTCAGTCTCCTCCTTGGTAAACAGAGATAATAATGACCAATAACCATGCACCCCACAGGGTGTTGGGAATGCCAGGTGGGTGTGAACACTTTGAGCACACCTGGAGCACAGTGAGTGGAAGAGACACAGAGCACCCTGCGGGAGCCTGTTCACCAGAGTCGTGTGACCAGTCACTTCAC